TTGGGGTGTGTGTGTGGGGGGGGGGGGCGGAGCCCCCTTTTCCCAAGTAGAGTTGCTTGAAAGAAACTCTAAATGCGACTTTTTTCATCAATGAGATTAGGTGCATGGTTTAGGCATATGCCTATGACTATATTTTGTATAAATTAAAGTACCGATTCTGGATAAAAATCCGTTTTCAATGTCATTTTTCATTTCCGGTTAAATTGAATTAAGGTGGTGATTTTGTTTTTGGTTTTAGTTTAGAGAAAAGAGACAGCACTATCAACCTAGCGCCCGCTGTATCCTTCCTCAACGGGCCATTTTTTTTCGTATTTAGAAATGTTTGAAATAGACTACCGAAAATAACCACATCCTTTAGCTAACGTCAAAAAGGCCTTTTCGTTTTTATTGCAAGCTTTCATTTAGTTCGCAACATCTGTTTGTTTGTTTGTTTCTTTGTTCTTTGTGTATTTGTTGCAGATCTTTTAACTCAATTATGACCCACTTCTAATGCAGAGATTTCGTTCAAACTTCCCAGATATGCTCTTCTTCAAAGGTTTAACACCTGCTATTTTAAAAATAAAACTATTAAACCATTTTGAATGATGCGAAAAACCTCGAAAACACTCTCACACTGCCCTCTACGAAATATGTACACAGTATTTTAAGTTGTAATATTCCTATTGCGAAAAAAAGGCATGTAAATCTTACCTTTTATTCTTTCTAACCCAGCGTAGGACAAGTCTCCAGAAAATTTTCTCTTAAATGAACAGTCTGGGACGAGATCTGGAGCTAATTTATACAATTTTAAACGTTGTGAATTAATGCAGATATAGCCTGTAGGGGGCTATCGAATTTACAAGTTAATGTTTTATGAGTGCAATTGTATTAAGCTGAGAAATAATCCGCTATCAATTGGGAAGAATCGGTAATGAGGCACTTGGAATAATTCGTCAATAAGCATTTTATAATCATTAGGCCATGTCCAATTATGGATACTTAGGTAATAAACCTTATTTATCCTTTGCTCTGACGAAATCCAATGTCAAATCATATGAGTTTGGTGTGTATCTGAACCCCTAAGAGACACACTGAACCCCAGGGGTTCTATTGAACCCATGGTAGGAGCCACAGGTACATACGAATACGATTTGCAATGCAAAGTTAAAGAATTAAAAATTTCAGTTTGCTAAGCGAAGTCTACTGTTTAGCAGAGCGACACAATGATTTATAGACATTTATTTACATTGATAGGCAGCCAGGGTATAATGGTATACGATCTACAACGCAAAGTTAAATATATATATATATTACAATGGCTGCCCATTACGTGATAATTTAATCAACTGTGTACCACTCTCAAAAACATCATCTACACATTAACACTATCAGCACACACAGAAACAAAGAAATGCACAAATAACTCACATAATTTACATATTTAACACTGTCTTGTATGAACAAATTATGTGTATGCTTGAATGTACTGTTAAGATACTTATAAGTTTGTAATATATTAAGAAACTCACATGTTGTAGATATTTCTATTATTAAAACCGAATTTATACAAAGTGTCAGGAATATAATATATAAAAAACTCCAAACGTTTATTTTTAATTACAAGAAGAAGGGTCGGTGTGGTCGAGTCGGTAAAGCTCATGGTTGCTAAACCGAAAAGTCTCGAGTTCGAACCATCGGGCAGATGAGGCTCGTTAGCTGGGGACAGCCACTCTTCTAGGAGAGACAACTCCAAAATTAAACAGCTGCTGCCTTGTAGTTTGTTCTTGGTTGGACAAAGGCTATGGAAGCAAATCCAAAAAGAAAAGCAGGCTGAAATCGGAGTCAATGGCCTCAATGGCGCATAACCAGTTGACACGTAATGCTTAATTGTGTTGGAGGCGTGGTCGAGTCGGCAAAAACCTCATGGTTGATTAATTCGAACAAAGTCTCGAGTTTAACCCCACTGGCAGATAAATCTCGATCCCATTCAACACTAATAATTAAGAACGAAGAAGAAGAAGAAGAATCACAAGAAATTATTATCAGCTTTTTAAGTTTTATGCTTTAATGTCCAAGATCTATGATAAAACAATGGCAATTTGACATAATTTGGATATCATTCAGTAATGGAGACGTTTGTTACGTCGAAAATATTAGAAAGACTAATGAATTGTTCACTTGCTTGTATTTTTGTTTTACATAGAACGGAATATTTAGGCGTCAAGTGTAATTGGGTATGCAAGAAATCGAGTATCCACCGACACCTCTCCCACGGCCCCCACCTGCATGATTCGTTGTGAAACCCAACCACACGCCACGAATAGGCCTCAGGACATTTTCTTCGTCAATATTTAAAAATTTACATTTGATTAAAAAAAATAACGGCAAAAAAAACTATAATAATATGATTTCAAATACATTGGAAAAATCTAAAACAAAACATACTTACTTTCTTTAGTAAAAGCTTTAGTCGCTAACAAGATCTTACATATTTTAGCAAACATTTAGCATATTGAAAGCTTATTATTAGACATATTTTTTTGTATTTCTTTTATTTTCTATTTTTAAGAACTCAATCTAGGGATATAAAAAATAAATAAATTAACACTGCTTAGACAACGACTACAGATATATGCGTGAAAACTGAATCAGTAGCTTGCGATCACTAAAAGACACTTGTCTACTCCTACTTCGAGGCTCCGAAAAAAGAACATTTAAAAAAAAAAACTAAGCCATCAAAATCATTACATCGTCGACAGCCAGCTAGTAGACTGATCGCTAGTATTTAAACTTATCTCCCTTTTAATTTTTAAATTTAATTATGCAAAAGACAAATTTTTATGACTAACCTAATGTATAATGTATAATTAGATTATATATATATATATATATATATATATATATATATATATGTGTGTGTGTGTGTGTGTGTGTGTGTGTGTGTGTGTGTGTGTGTGTGTGTATACATTGTCACCAGAGATGAATGCATCAGAAAAGTGTGAAAGAACTCTGTGCTTTAGAAGTGACAAAATCATGTGACATGATTTGTCACATTCTACAAACAGACATTGTGAACTCAATAAAGGCTTATAACACACATACTAAATAAAGGCTTATAACACACGTATAATATAAAGGCTTATAACACACGTATAACATAAAGGCTTATAACACACATACTAAATAAACACTTACAACACACATACTAAATAAAGGCTTATAACACACGTATAATATAAAGGCTTATAACACACGTATAATATAAAGGCTTATAACACACATACTAAATAAACACTTATAACACACATACTAAATAAAGGCTTATAACACACGTATAATATAAAGGCTTATAACACACATACCAAATCAAGGCTTATAGCACACATACTAAATAAAGGCTTATAACACACGTATAATATAAAGGCTTATAACACACATACCAAATAAAAGCTTATAGCACACATACTAAATAAAGGCTTATAACACACGTATAAAATAAGGCTTATATCACACATACTAAATAAACACTTATAACACACATACTAAATAAAGGCTTATAACACACGTATAATATAAAGGCTTATAACACACATACCAAATAAAGGCTTATAGCACACATACTAAATAAAGGCTTATAACACAAGTATAATATAAAGGCTTATAACACACATACCAAATAAAGGCTTATAACACACATACTAAATAAAGGCTGATAACACACATACCAAATAAAGGCTTATAACACACATACTAAATAAAGGCTTATAACACACATACTAAATAAAGGCTTATAACACACATACTAAATAAAGGCTTATAACACACATACCATATAAAGGCTTATAACACACATACTATATAAACACTTATAACACACATACTAAATAAAGGCTTATAACACACGTATAATATAAAGGCTTATAACACACATACCAAATAAAGGCTTATAGCACACATACTAAATAAAGGCTTATAACACACATACCAAATAAAGGCTTATAGCACACATACTAAATAAAGGCTTATAACACAAGTATAATATAAAGGCTTATAACACACATACTAAATAAAGGCTGACAACACACATACCAAATAAAGGCTTATAACACACATACTAAATAAAGGCTTATAACACACATACTAAATAAAGGCTTATAACACACATACTAAATAAAGGCTTATAACACACATACCATATAAAGGCTTATAACACACATACTAAATAAACACTTATAACACACATACTAAATAAAGGCTTATAACACACGTATAATATAAAGGCTTATAACACACATACCAAATAAAGGCTTATAGCACACATACTAAATAAAGGCTTATAACACACGTATAATATAAAGGCTTATAACACACATACCAAATAAAGGCCTATAACACACATACTAAATAAAGGCTGATAACACACATACCAAATAAAGGCTTATAACACACATACTAAATAAAGGCTTATAACACACGTATAATATAAAGGCTTATAACACACATACCAAATAAAGGCTTATAACACACATACTAAATAAAGGCTGATAACACACATACCAAATAAAGGCTTATAACACACATACTAAATAAAGGCTTATAACGCACGTATAATATAAAGGCTTATAACACACATACCAAATAAAGGCTTATATTACACATAATAAATAAAGGCTAAGAACAAAACTAAATAAAGGCTGATAACACACATACTTAGTGAGTCAAATAAAAGCCTTTCAAAATGGACCATACATCTTAATGCTGTTAAAATTTGCGCTTCATGCGAGTGCAAAATAAAATATTTCTGAGCGCTTTAAAAATAATGAGACGCTACTTATTCACCCAAAGAACACCTAAGTTCAGCCCTTAGCGTTGGTAATCAAACGCTATCCAAACAGGGAGATAACCAATCCTTGCTAGGGGTAGAGAAACCAGTTGTAAGTCATTGCTTCGACGCTCAGTCTAGGTCACGTTGACGTGACTAACAGTCACACTAAGAGCAGGAATCTGGAGTGTCTTGCCCCTGTTGTACTGATTCATTTGTGCTGTACAGTTATGTTCATTTCTGATTCCTTTTGGGCTCTGTACATAATCATCAAATAACAACTAGGAACTTAGTGTTCGTGGAAGTTTACAAAATGTGAAATACATTTCTTCATTCGAGATTTTTCTGTTTCTAAATATCTTTTAGTGAATTTTAGACTTTTTTTTTAAGTGCAGTGCTACGTGAATTATTTTTACTAAAACGTGTAATTTTAAAATATAAGAAGACATTAGCTCTAGAACCATCTATACAATGATGCCATGTATGAGGAAACGATGTTTACCTATTGTCGGAGCTGTGGTGTTTATTACTGTGGTATCGTTATTTGGAGTGTTTACTGTAGGGACATACAGCAAAGGTTTAGTTAGAGACCAGGACACACTCGACAGAGAGGTTCTAAAACACTCAACTGACATCTACGGAAACATAGAGCATGTCATTGTAAAAACATTAGACGCTAAAATTGAGAGCTTATCTAAAGTTTTATCAAATGTTTCTGTTCATTTTCGAGAATCATCGTTAAGAGAAAAAGTCAACATTCAAAGATCGATAATTGAGTTTCTTTCCCAACCAATCAGAAACGAGCATAATTTTTCCTACCTCCATAACCCGGAGAGAACATGTCGTCAAAGTTTGGTTAAATTGTTGAATGTGGTACCATCTGCATTGAGAAACTTTGACCTGAGAAATAAACTGCGCAGTGGGAAAAGATTTTATTTTATTAACAATACCAGTAACTACGCCCGTATGCTGTTTTTTCTTGGGACCACACACAATGAAACTTTACTTGAACAAATAAACAAAGAAGCTAAAAAATTCGGGGACATTGTGCAAGAAAATTATATGGACACTTACAAGAATATCAGACATAAGGCAATGTCCATGCTAAAGTGGGCGGTGACATTTTGTCCAGGTACACAATACGTATTAAGGACTGATGACGACATTGATGTTAACTTAGAAAAAATTGTGGACGCTATGAAAATGACCAGTCAAAAAATGGAAAATTTTATTCTGGCAAAAACTAAAAAGAACGAAGGCCCAGTCAGAAACAAACATTGGAAGGTTTACATATCAGAGGAAGAATACCCTAACAGTACATATCCCACATTTGGGCTTGGGGGCTTGCTGGGCTACCCCATGGGGACAGTCAGACTACTGTACCAGGCGGCGCTGAGGGTCAAGCCCATCTGGTTGGATGATGTCTTCATCACGGCTTTATGTGCACCTAAGGTCAACGTGACCTTGCTAGAACATCCGGCGTTTACATTTAAGCATTAAAACCTGTACAATAATAGTTTGGGAGCAATTATTTACCGTAAATTGAATATTTAGTTTAATTAATATTTCTGTCATCTAACATTTTTTTTGTACATTGAAAATATATGAAGTAACTAGCAGTACTGTGTTCATTACTTACATGGCTGCTAGTAAATACTGATTCTAAATTGTTGGATAATGTATATAGTAGTTTCAACGTAGGCCGTGGTTTCAACATGGACCCAGAGATACTGCATATCGTGGTTTGATTTACTTGCTCTAAATTACAATGTCCCAAAAGGACCTTGATGCACCAAAGGAACATTGACTTCTAGATACTTATCTAGCGAACCAGATAGTACATAGCTGTGTTTTTTTTTTGTTAACCGACAGCCCACTTATATTTGTGACAATGTTGTTTTAATTTCATGTTGGAGTAGAATACGGCGACAGAATTACGTCATTTCTCAAATGTAAGATTTATTAAACGTGTTCTTTAATATATTTCTTCTTTAATTTCTTAAAATGTATAAGTAAGAATGTATGTGTTTTATTGCATGTGTGTTTGTGTATGGGTATGTGTATGGGAGTAGCTGTGAGTATGTGTGTGGGCATGTGTATGGTGTATGTGTTCGTGTACATATATATATATATATATATATATATATATATATATATATATATATATATATATATATATATATATATGCATGTGCATATGTATATGTGTAGGTATGCGTATGTGTATCAGTATGTGCACATACAAGTATTGACATACGTGATATGAATCATATTATGCACATGTTTACGCACTATCTACCCACATTTACTAAACACTAAAAAAAAGTAATTTGTTTCGCTTGAGTTCAATCACAACAAGATAAAATTTTCATAGCTCTTCTAGTAGACCCATCTAGGCGGATTAAAATTTTTTTTATACATAAAAGCTAGTTATTAAAACGTTTTTATGTAGCTTTTAAAGCAATTTATGTAGATGTCTATAATAATATTTAAAGAAAATCTTTTATTTCTCCATTTTCGTATATTATTAAGAAATTTGCGTTTATAAAAATAACAAATCATTAAATGGGCTTTTTAAAAAAAATCCAGTTATATTTGATAATATTAAATGGCAAGGCACATCCCCACTCTCAGATACTATGCAGGGGTCGGCTTGTTCGTTTTTCTTCTCGATAAGAAATATTGAAAAGGAAATTAAAACAAAAACAAATTACGAAAAGTAAAAAACAATAAATAATAAGTTACAGCAATTTATGCAGCATAGTTGGTGGATGATATGTATCAAGAAATAGAATTTTCTTTCCTTATTGGGCTGCTTGATTTTATCCTGTTAGATCAGTTCCTTGTTTGTTCACCTGCTTTCTTTTCGAAGTGATAAACGTTTCGTCCACACGTCAATCAGGTGAGATTCTCTCAGATTTACACTAGCGAAAAATCCAAAATAAAAAAGTACCACTTCCGGTTGTAAAACGTCATACGGACAAGATTGCAAAATTATGCTTTTCCGTATCTAGTCCGTATGTCTGTGTGTATGTGTGTGTCTGTGTGTGTGTCTGTGTGTGCGTCTGTGTGTCTGTAAACACGATAACTTGAGTACCGTTATAGCTAGGATGATGAAATTTCATATATAAGTATTTTATTAAAATCGTAGATGCGTATCAACTTTTGAGCGATTTCCGATAACCGGAAGTGGTACTTTTTTTATTTTGGATTTTTAAAAAGCCTATAACTTGAGTACTATTTCAGATAGATAAATAAAATTTCACATGTAATTAAAAGATCTAATTCTCTATCTTCTGTCAAATTTGAGTAATTTCCGTTGACCGGAAGTAGTAATTTAAGCTATTTCCGATTTCACAAAAAACAAATGTAAATTTATAAAGTACTAATAATATTGCGAGTTCACTTGGTGTGCAATTCTTTTTTCTACGAGATTTTATTCTATTTTAATAACTTTAAGTATATAAAATAGAGTTCCCATCCCCTGTTGTTTTTAAATAAGAATATTCGAGAAAGTTTAGGGGAGATCACTCCCGGTTTATTACTGTAACCTTTGTGTCTGCATCTAGATCTAATTGTATCAGATATGAAAAAGCAGTAAATTCTTTTTTTTTTGTTGTTGAGAAAATAGATACCAAAAAAACATTGAAAATATTTGCCACCTCTGGGTTATTTAGAAGGGGTGACGCACCCTGTGTCCCTAAATAGTACACGCCTAACTCTTTAGTAGGCAGCTGTTATCTTGAGATTATTTTTAAGTCGCTGCCATATCTATGAGATCGTGAGAATGAACGCCCACTGCCCCCCAATTATTGGTTAACAGGATTTGAGTAGCAACTTGTTATTTTAGGATCGAAAGTTGTTTACTCTCCACTCAGGGTATGTTTTAGTTATCTATTTACAACATGTAGGCTATATTATGCATCGCTAAGTTGTAAAATAATTTAAAGTATTTTTTGAAGACAGAAACTCACACCTTACAACACAAAACATAAGATACAATATATGTAAATATAAGGTTTTTTAAATAATATTAAAAATAATTTGAACCTGAACCACAACTTTTGCCGTGATCCATACCCTACCACACAACCTACCCCTCTCCCCACACACAACCTACCACTCTCCCCACACACAACCTACCACTCTCACCACTCACAACCTACCCCTCTCCCCACACACAACCAACATGCAACACCAAACCCGTACATGACACAGTGGCGGAACTAGAAAAAAAGAGCCACCCCACAAAAAAAAATTGGGCTCCCATATATATATATATATATATATATATATATATATATATATATATATATATATATATATATATATATATATATATATATATATATATATATATATATATATATATATATATATATATATATTACGGTCGGCTGTGGGCCCCTAAACTGCCTGCCACCCCCCCCCCCCCCAGTATTTCGGGGTTTGGCGGCACTGTAGTTCCGCCCCTGACATAACATCAATACCACTCCACATTACTGTCAGATACAAATAGCCTTACGTGGGGTGGGGGGGGGGGGGGGGGGGGGTAGCAACGTGCCAAAAAAAGTTTGGACAAACATTTAACAGCTCAGAGTAACATTACTGAATGTTTCAGTCCAATTGAATAAAGTAGATTGGTACACACCTTTTTATAACTGATTAAACAGTTTACTACACAGATCTTATTACATATAGATAAACGCGCAAGTTACAGATAAAATGTGTCAACAACCTTCTTAGCTAGGAGTGGTGGGGGGAGGGGGTGGGATGGTGGAGGGGGGGGGCAAGTAATTCGCTAGTGTAAATCTGAGAGAATCTCACCTGATTGACGTGTGGACGAAACGTTTATCACTTCGAAAAGAAAGCAGGTGAACAAACAAGGAACTGATCTAACATGATAAAAGTAAGCAGCCCAATAAGGAAAGAAAATTCAATTTCTTGATACCAACTATGCTGCATAAATTGCTGTAACAAATACTTATTATTTATTGTATTTTACTTTTAGTTATATGTTTTTGTTTCAATTTTCTTTTTGAAAGTAAGTAAAAAAGTAAGTTAAAATACGTTTGGCTATAGAAATTTTATCTACGTAATGAACGATTACTTCACTATAAGGGGCATTGAATATTTCTTATCGAGAAAAAAAGTCAACATTAAATATATGTACTGAAGCAAAAAGGCGATAAAACATAAGGGGTTGTTTGGGTCGTCTTGTCAAAGGCAGTGCAAACAAAATTGACACCACTGTAAATATTACATAAAAATGTTACTAGTAAAATGAAACGCAATAAATATAATTTATCTAGGATAAATATAATTATATGAAATATAAATATAGTGTCTGTAAAGTAATTCAACCAACATGGTTAGATATAGAACGACGTTTACGATTTACAGCAGTTGAGATGGGCGCTAAAATGAGGTAGATAATACTCAGGTTAATGTTGTTAAGTGCAGTGCTGAGTCTTATTAGTTAGGTTGTCGTGTCAATTATGTGCTGCCCTGTATATCGAAGCAAACGTCACTAGCATAGCATTGAATCTTCTTCTTCGTCGTTCTTAATTTTAGTGGATAAGCACCATTGAGGCCATTGACTCCGATTTCAGCCTGCATTCCTTTTTGGATTTGCTTCCATAGCCTTTGTCCAACCAAGAACAAACTACAAGGCAGCAGTTGTTTAATTTTGGAGTTGTCTCCCCTAGATGAGTTGCTGTCCTCATCTAACGAGCCTCACCAGCCCGAGGGTTCAAACTCGAGACTTTGGGGTTTAACAACCATGAACTTTACCGAACCCTTGCATTTTATCTGAGAGTGAGGATATGCCTTCCTTAACGCCGACAGTCGCGTTTTCGCGACATACCGATTTAGCGCATAGCATTTGCGCATATGTTCATTTATCCTACTGCTGCCGGTCGTTTTGTATTGGGTACATCCAGACGGTTGTATCGGTACCAATGGTCACGTTGTCAAGTCGAAAGTTATGACGTCACACTCTCTTGACTCACGCGCATCGTAATTTTTTGACTTCGTGAATTCAGCCTACTTACATTGATTATTATTACTAAATAGGTGATCCGTTTTGGCTATAAAAAATACTAATAGCTTTATTATTCACTCTTTTATGTATATAAACAATATAAATCACATATGAGAATAATTTTGGAAGTTATCTGCTAATTACGGTTTGTCGCGTTTTCGCGACATCCGGCAATTAGACATAAAATGGAACTTGGGTGACAAGCAGGTATAACGAAATACGATGCATCGCCAAGCTGTCATTCATTCAAGTATGATTATAAATAATTAAAGGATTTACAATATAGTCTTCGCCTATATATAAAAGTGCACTTTAGAATGTTACGGTCCATGTGGTAGGTGAAGTAGAGTTCACCTGTTTCATTGACATTGGCATATGGAGAGAGAGCGATGCTGGAATGTTGTGATCATGTTGCTGGGTACAATATAACGAATTTAGCTTTGAAATAGTATTGTAAAATATTAGGAGAACATAAAGAACATAATAGACAACAGGAAGTGAGGTGGTGGACCACTATCCTGGATACCACCAAATAAAGGTCTTCACGGTGACCATGACAATAATAACACTGAGCATAGAACTACACCTCGTAATAAATACAGTAAGGTTGAGTGCTGACACACATACCCTTTGCAGTGCTATTGAATACCCATATTAGCGGCATTATACTGGCATTTAGTACCGACAGCAGTGTTATTGAGTACCCACATCTTCAGCACTGAGTACCAACATCAGTGACACTGAGCAACCACAGTTTGAGCAATAAGCACTCACAGCAGTGCTACTGAGTACCCACTGCTAAGGATGAGTACCTATGTCAACGTTATCGATTACCAACAGCTCCAGCGCTGAGTACCCACAGAAGTGACACCAAGAACCAACTGCAGTAACACTAAGTACCCACAGC